GTTCATCAAGGGCTTGTTATGTGCCACACATGTTCAGTGTATGACAAAGATGATCTCATTTAATGTCCACTTTGAACCGCCTCTCTGAGCCTGTTTCCTCATCAGTAAAATGGAAAAAATAATAATACTGCCTACTACAAAGGGTCATTTTGTGAGGATCAAGATTCATGTATGTAAAATGTGCAGAATAGCACCTGGCATGTAAGCACAGTGCTGTGTGGGTGCTCTGATGATTGCGGTGGTAATGGTGAGGTAGATGCTATTACTATCCCCTTTTTACAGATGACAGCTGAGGCTCAGCAAGTTTCTTCAGGGCTGGAACTCTCCCCACACAACAGGGGCAGTGATGCTGGAGTCACGCACACGGTGAGTCAGAGCATCCGAGTGGCTCACCTCCCAGGAGGGCTCCACCTGGGCAGTTCCCACCCCCGCCAGGAGCTCTGGTCCAGTCCCAACCCTGGAGCTTGTGAGTCACCATTATTTCCACCTCCCAACCCAGATGAACCTGCCAAGCCCTGGGGACCAGGAGAATACCCTGCATCCTGGATCTCTTCTTCCCCTGCCAGGGCGTCTGTTTCCTGGTGTTTTGTGTCTGGGAGATACCAGGCCCGCTTTTCTCCCTCATTTTCTGCCCAACCTGCAAGAATAAATTACTGGGCTCACTGAACTTTTTAATGGCCCTGAGGACCTCCATGGACTGCTTTTACTTGTACCATCGCTCAGCTTAAGAAGGCCCTCAAGTGAGGGGTGAAATGTCTAACTATTACATTGTTTTGTACACCTGAAACAAACAAACAAACAAACAAACAAACAAACAAACAAACAAACAAAAAAGGCCCTCAATAAGCATGTTTAGTGAAACCACCTCAAAATGCTCCAGAAAGCTCCATAGTAACTTTATCCCCCATCCTACAGATGAGAAAACTGAGGCTTGGACCAAGTGTGATTTGGACTCAGGTCTACCCATAGCATAAACCCAGATCTTCAATCTTTATCCTGTAGGGAAAGTGTGTGGATATAGGGGCCACAGAAATGGAGGGGTGAGCGCGTGGAAAGTGAGGCCGTTGTTGTAGGAAGAGCTTATGCTGTGAGGTCAGGGCTGCCGCTCCCTCTCTGAACCCCAGTCTTCCAATCTGTAAACCTGGGATAAAAGTCCCAACCTCTCAAGGATGCTCTGAGGCTACAGAGCATTGCTCAGGTTATCTCTCGTCCCCGTCCACCTTTCCATGCCCCTTCTCAGGCCCCTTCACCAGGCCTTTCCCTGGCAAGAAGCACCCTTGCCCCCACCTCCCTGGTCTCTACCAGCCCAGAACTCCCCCGTCCTTCAGACTCCGGGGCCATCCCAGCCCAGCTGAGCTGGTGACTGTAAAGCAGGTTGTCTTAAACTGAGTGAGCCCCACCCAGCAGGTTACAGGCTTGGGCTGGTTAATAATTCACAGGTAAACAGGCCCATCAACAAAGGGCCCTCAAAGAGGGCCGTCACACTAATGGTTCTTCAACTTTCCCTGGAGAGGGGTCCTTAGGGAGAACCTAGGCCTGCTCCTTCGGAGGCCTCCTCCTACTCCAAGGACTCTGATCCCCACCAGCTGTGTAACCTTGGGCAGGTTATCGCCCCACTCTGGTCCTTAGTTTCCCCCTTCCCACCCAATATCAAGAGGAGAGAAGGTTGGACCAGGAGCTCAAGGGCCCTCCCTGCTCTGGGTGTTCTCAGTTCTGGGATCTGAGCCCTTCTACCAAAGTCTGATCTCCAGGAGCTGCCAAGGGTGGGTCTAAGGAAGAAGCTCCAGTCAGGTACAAGGGACCAGGAACAGCTTTGATTGAAAAGAAGAGGCAGAGCTCTAATGAGGGGTTTCTGGCATTGAGTGGCATCCTGTCGGGGGTTAGAACTTGGGCTGCAGAGCCAGGGAGATCTGGCTGGCTCCTGGCCCCACCACATTCTAGCTGTGCAGCCTACTAGCTTGAGGAGGGTAGAGAGTGGTTCAGAGAGCAGGTGTGCCATTCAGGGCTTGCACCCCAGCTCTGACACCCTGGACCAGAGACTTCATTTCTGAAAAGGGGATGTTGATGACACCCACCTCACTAGGTTGGTGCAAGGATTAAATGAGATACTATACATAAAGCACTTATCATTATTCTTTGAGCTTTCGTTTCCTCACCTATAAGGCAGGGACAACAGGATTGTTCTGAGTATTAAATAAGCAAATTGACCCCAAAGAGATTTGGAACCATGCAAGGCTGTCCATAAAAGAGGGATTTCCCCGAAGATGTGCACCCTGACCTGGCCAGGACCACAAGGACAGTGCAATGTTCATTGGACACCTACTGCATACCTTCAGGGCAGATGTACTACCTCATGCACTGCTGGTGGGAGTAGAAAGTGGCACCCTCTTTCTTAAGGTCAATTGGAATTGTGGATTGAAAGCCTTAGAAAGATGACCCAGTAAGACCCAGGCAGCAAATTTGTCTTAAGAAATAATCACAGACATGAAGATTTATGGTACAAAGATGTTCGTCAGAGTGTTTTCTATAATAAAGACACCGCTGGAAATAACCTAAATGCTCATCCATAAGGAATTAGGTCAATGAATTATAGTGAATTTGTAGGGGGAGCTATTCTGCAGATGTTTAAATTGTGTTTATAGAGAATGTATTTGCCTGGATTATTGCATCGTCTCCTAACTAGTTTCTCTGCTCTTCCCCTGTCCCCTCATTGTCTTTTCTCCACACGGCACCAGACCCATTGATCAGACTGTGTCACTCTTCTGTTCAGAGCCCCACACAGGCTCCCCATGTTGCTCAGTACAAAAGCTCAAGCCTTCACATGGCCATGACTTCCTGCATGGCCTGCACCTCTATATCTCTCTCTGGCATTGCCTTCCTTTCTTCTCCCTCTAGTTCAGCCACACTGGCCTCCTGGCTCTTTACCAAATATGCCAGCACACTCCTACCTCAGGCCCTTTGCACTTGCTATTCCCTCTGCCTGAAATGCTCTTCCCATAGATACTCACATGATTACCCCCTCACCTCCTTCAGATCTCAGCTCAAATTTCACCTTTTCCCTGAGGGCTCCCCTGACCATTCTAGTTAAGATGGAACCCTTGCCCTCATACTTTGAATTCCTTTTCCTTGCATTAATTTTTCCTTAGCACTTGATAGCTGACATCCTGTATATTTTACTCATTCGTGTATTCTCTGTCTCTCCCCATTGAATTCTACACTCCACAAAGGCAGGGA